ATATATAGATAGATAGATAGATAGATAGATAGATAGGACAGTAGAGAGAGACGACAGGAAAACACTGGGAGGAGAGAGGATTAGCAAAGGACCTCAAGATGGGAATCGAACTCGGGTTGCCATGAGCACAGTTGCACTGTATGTTGACGCACTAACCACGAGGCTATTATGTTATTAAAAAACATCAGTAAAACTCCACTAATTGTTTTTAAAAGCTTTTAGGCTTTTCTTTAAAAAGGCAATTGCTAACAATGGCTAAATGGGACTACAGAGGTTGTCAAGGACATTAAATGTCATCACACTGAACACTACGCTAACCCAAACATGGTGGTGACTTTGAAGTCATGTGACCATGGCGTAGTTAGTTTATAGCATACATTCAGCATTTTACTTCTGGCAAATGTAATTAGGCTTCACAAGTAAGAAGAGCTGTTTTCTTTTGTAAATGTAACATTTATTATGAACAAAACATGCAAGTTCCATTAACTTTTGTTGGCCACTGAGCGTATTTTCTGCAATAATCCAAAAGCCAATGGAAAAACCCTATTGGCTTTTTGTCAAGGGAACCAGGTGATTTTCCTGGTTTTAGGGTTGGCCTACAAAATTATGTCATTCCTGCAGCACTCTATTTAAATAGTATTTGACAAAATCTAACCGCACCAATAAGATAATAATACCAGGAAAAACAAAATTAGAACGTTTACAGAAAAAAAAAAGGGACTGGTACTTGTAAACTTGCCAAGACATTACGTGCGTCCCAATTTGTGGACTTGAGCACTATTCTATGCCATTTTTAGGCCCTGCTTACACTGGTGCATTTTCGTTTTAAAATGAAAACAATCCTCATCTACACTGGTGTTTTCACTGCGTTTCAGAAATGATCTCCATCCACACTACACAACCGAAAACACATGTCACATGACCATTCATGCAGATACAACCATGTTCAAAAGCGTGTGACGCTTGCCCCGCCTCCAGAGTCTTCTGATTGGTCCACTGTTTTTGAATTGACACTGAAAAGCGGCGCTACATGTAAAAGTTGAAATTCTTTTAACGTCTTAAATGTGGCGTTCATGTGCAAGACACTGCAAAAGACACACAATGCGAGTGCAGTGGTCTTGCACGTCCGTCTAGCGCGTATTAACATAGAAAAACAATGGAAAAGTATCGCATTGGAATGGAAAAACGCATTCTGTGTGAGCAGCCCCTTAGGGTGGTGTAGCAGTGGTCAAGGATAATAGTCAGTGCTTAAACACAACCACACAGTGGTCACTTTTAATACAACTCCCATTTCAGCGGTTACATGCAGCAGTAGCTTTTCTGTAACTGACAGACAGGCACAATTTATTTTAGAACCTGTGGTAGGTGTGTTAAACACCTTACAGTAATATAATGCACATAATGATATGGCTTCACAATGATAATCTAAAAATAGCAATAATGACATGTTGACTTACGGCGAGACGAAGTTCTTCTGCACCAGGAAGGCAGAAACTCCACACAGGGTCCACAGCAGGTGATGATGGGCCCAATCCAGGAGCACATCCAACACCTGCATCCAGTGGTGTTTCCACGCGGATGAGAACCGCGGCGTCCCATCGCCAAACCGACTCAGACTCCACGGCCGATGGGTCAATGCGGTCACCACATTAGAATCCGCCTGCCGCATCTGGAAAAGATCAGCCAATACACCTTTATATTAGTGTATAATTGTCAAAAAATTAGGAAATGCAGTCGGGCTGGATTACGTTACCCTATAGATGACTTTGGGCTCAAATGAGCAGACGATGCTTGTGTTGTAGAGCACTGGATACTTCTGGAATAATTCTTTCAGTGCTGCAGCTGCCTGTGGACAACAGATACATGAAAGCATTAACATTGTGCTCTGCTAATGCAAGAATCACACATTGGTGGCCAAAATTATTAGAACACTAGTATTTTTACCAGCTAAAAATGGCCACCACTGTAAATCAAGTTCTTGTTAAAGGGGTCATAGGATGCTACATGCACTTTTACAAGTTGTTTGAACTGAAATGTGTGCTGGCAGTGTGTGTACACAACCACCCTATACTGATAAAAATCCACCCAGAGTTTTTTTTTTTAAATCTGGTTAAATGTTTTCCCCTTTCTCAAATCGAGCCGATCTCAGATGCCTGTCTGTGTGACGTCACAGACAGGCCCCTCCCACGATAGTTTGATTGACAGTAGCGTCTCAGCACAGACTGGACTGGCGTCTTACCTTAGCTCCGCCCTGAGTGACCTGTCATCAGTCCGCCATTGTTTCATCGCCAGAGCAGATGTAGACAAGAATGACTCCTAACAAGCGATTGAGGTGTTCTGTTGTTGGATGTAA